GGGCTCCTCCTCAGCGCTGCCCTCGCAGCAGTTCTGCACCCCGGTGCGACGGCACCGCCCGGGGAGGGCAGAGCCCCCGGCAGCCCCTCCTGCCATCCTGGTGCCCTTCAGCACGGGGGATATGGGCAAAGGGATGAGCAGAAGCTCCCAGCGGGGCTGAGCCTTCTGGCTGCTCTGGTGCCTTCCTGTACCCTGGGGTGCCTGTCCCAGGTGCTCCTCTGGGAGGTCTCTGCTTTCCTCCAGGAGCTCCCCTGGCTCAGCGTGTTCACCCAAGCTAGTGCATATGTGTGTGACTGGGCAGGCCTTCCAGTTACTGGCCATACATCCCACTCTAGGATGGCTTTAGAATGTTTTTTTGTCTTTGACATCTTTTATTTACCTGTTAAGTCACCAACTCATAGTCAGGTGCAACTGAGAGTGTTGGTGTCTTCTCATAAGCAGGGATTTCACTGGCTGGCCACCTCCCTCTGGTCCTACATGTGGGTTTAAAGCTTGTCTCAGGGAGAGCTGCTGTATGAAAAACTTCACAAGGTGATGAGGTTGCACTGTGCTGCAGCACCGTCTCCCACCAGGCAGAGGTGGCTTGGTAAATGTCACTAGCAAAGGGACAGGGTCTGGCAGGCATCCCCCTCTCGTGCTGCTTGTCTGTGGGTTAGTAATTCGCTGTAAGTTCCAGTGGGACAGCTGAAGGGAGCTGTGCAGCCTGGCACGGGTGTGGGCAGCGTGATGGGAGCTGGAGCCTCAGCCTTCAGGGGGGTTGCTGCAGAACTGGGTGCTCACGCACCTCCCTCCTTAACCACTCCTCTTGTGGAATAGCCCTGCTCCGTGGTGTCATCGCCAGACACTGACCAACTGTTCTTCTCTGTTCTCTCTCAGATAGGCACGTTCAAGTCTGATGATGGGGACTATTTTGTGGAGCCGCTGCTGTCGCTTGAAGAGCAGGAGTACGAAGAGGAGCACAATAAACCACACCTAGTCTATCGACACAGGACACCTCCAACCAACTCTTCGGGGGACAGGCAGACGTGTGACACTCCAGGTACTCATTTTGCTACTGCCCTTGGTGACTTGGCGCTTACAAAAGGGAACTGATCTGTGGTCAAAAGCCAGTAGGTTTGTGTGGGGCAGAAGGGATGAGGAGCTGAGGGACCCCTGTGAGGATGGGGCTCGCCCTGGTGCTGCTGTCCTGGAGAGGCAGCCTGTGCTTTCTAGTAACCGGTTACACGGAAATTGCGGTCAGGAAAAATGTTACAGTTTCTCTTTCCTCCGGCTGTAAGGCTGGCAAGAGATCCTTTGGGCTGTCTTGCCTGAAGTATCCTGTGAGCCTTTCAACTTGCTTTCCTGACCTGATTTACTCTCTCAAATTCTGTCTCACTCCTTTAAATGACATTCTTCTGTCTTGGTCTTGCTGTGCTCCTGGCCTTCCCTCCCCAGATCTGGTTGTGAGTTGCAGTGTCATTTCTTTCTAGTGGAAATGAGAAGATCCTATAACCCCAATCCTGACAGTTCTCCCCTTATTAATCACTTTTCCATGGTTCACTTTCAAAGGCTTTTTTTCTTTCCTTGTGGCCCTTCCTCCATCAGCACCATCTCCCTGACCTCCTCACTCCCTCTTTCTAGTCTTTGCACATATGAAAGAGCACAAGCCTTTTTATCTCCCCTTCACGTGCCTTGGTGAGCAATAGCCTTGCTCCTACTGTCCCTATTATCTGCAGTGGCCTCCTGCTGCTCTCCTGCTTCGTTGACTTCCTGATTTTCACAACTAATCCTCCCCTTTGGCAGCAAATAGCTAAGTTCTCTCTGAAGAAGCTTATTCCTTCGGTCTCCTGTTTCTCCTGCTGTTTTGCCCTCCTCCTGTGGCCTGCAGCTAGACCTACAAGAGCTTTAAAGCCTAAACAGAGTAGACCTCGACTGGCTTCCCTTGTGCAGGCTGCAGTATCCAGCCACTCATGTGCTGCAAAGTAGGTGGAGTTGCTCAGGGAGTAAAAGGTACCACTGGAGGAGGAATGTGGTGCCAAACTTAGACTGCATTTAGCACGTGTGACTCCTTTGGCACTCCAGACTGTGGGTCACAGCTGTGCTGTTGAACTGTCAGTCTGTTTAGCTTGCACTGACCACACTAAGTCAGAAGATGCTCTGGTCATCTTTGACCAGCCAGGGCTGCTGCACTAGCAACATGTGTTTCTTCTAGAAGACATGTGGATACATGTCCACATGCAAGCATATGTGCTGGGGGACAATGGTACCTCTCACAAGGCTGTCATTGTTTGTTCTTCCAAGGGTTGCTGCTGGACTATGCCATTCTGGTTTCTCTCTTCCAGCTGTTTCTGCTCCCTTCTTTGAGATCAGATGCAGGAGACTCAGAACAGTTGGAAAGAAACACGGAATCTGGCACATTGCATCAGTAGCCCTTGGAGGAACGGAGCAGCAGATCACAGGACTCATTGAATCAAAGGTAGATGGGAGGGCTCTGACATTTGCTTGTGGCTTTTACTCTGTGCAGTGATAAGTCTGCTGCGTTTCACCCCACTGTCCCATGGCTTCCATTTAGGATGTTATTCTTCTGGATCATAATTCAAAAGAATAACACTCCATCTGTGATATCACCTACGTGATGCATCTCCCTCCTCTTTTCCAACATGCTTTGCCTCTTACTTATCTTTGTTTCCTTGTTCTTCTCGAATATTTCATATAGTGGAGAGAGAAGGTCTTCTCAAACAGAGGCTTAAGGGTTCCAGATAATTATGACAATCTTACTTGTGCTTCTGTCCTCTTCCCCCCTCTCTCTACTTTCTACCTTTTCTGAGTTTTCAAAGGCAACGGCGCTTTGGTCATAGCTTTTGGTGAACAAGTCTTGGTCACTGATTTAAAGAGCAAGTGCAGGGCAGATTGTGCAGTGCTGGACCTTGGCATTCCCCCCTGGGGTTACAGCTGGTGGAGAGAAGGTGTCTTGTGTCTTTGGAGCAAATGGGAGAACACAAAATCCAGGAGCACTCACTGTTTTGGATGGGCTGCATCTGTTGCTCCTACAAGGGAAGAATGGTTTCATGAGTTTGCTGTAGGTCTAGGGTGTTGTGTGAACACAGCCTCTAGTCAGAAGAACGTGTGAAAAGGTGTGTTTGCATTGCAGGCTTCTGGTAGGGATTGAAATTTTCTTAAAGAGGAGCTTCATGCAAAGGAAATCTGAAGTACCCACCCTGCAGTGATCAAGGGAGCCTGTGTTGTTGGGCAGTGGTGCTATTAAGAATGGCTTTCTGATAGTCTTCTTCCTGGAAATAATTAATAAGCAACCTACTGGTGTGCCCTTGCCATGATGATGTAATTGTAGACTTCTTGCAGTATCCAGGAAAAGTTTCCCTTGTGAGCTGACTGAAAGATTGAGTAAAAGCTTTCATTTCTAGCAATCTCCCTGGTGTTATTTTTAGCTTCCATCATCCTCTTGTTAGCTTAGAAAAACAGGTATTTGATTTTGTTCACTTTTAATTAGCAGTTTCTGATAGCAGTTGTAGGTCCTCTGACAGACAAGAGACTTTGCAGATGTTCTTTAAAAATATCTTTCTCCTCTGAACGCTGATGGATCTCGAATGCAGACTGTGCTCTGCATGTGAACTTTCATAGCCCAGGACCCAGGTCTCCTGGCACTGCACTTCAGCTGTCTGGCAGATAGCTCAGCTGCTGCAATAAAAGCTTCTGACAGAGTTTTCCTTGGGGTAACAGGTTAATGGAGTTTCAGTCATAGGAAATGGTCTCCTCCTTGCCTTCTTTTAGTTAGTGCCGTGAATCAATTTGTCATCTGGTCGAGGGTCTGGCAGAATAATTAGTTGTGTTTTAGTGAGCAACCCTGACGGGACGAGGACTTGGCCTGGCTGACAGGGTGATGTCACGAGGTGCGGCGCCGCTGCCGCCCAGCGCTTCGCCGTAGCCAGCTCTTCCCATCCAGGTTATTCAATATCCGCTTTGTTTGAGGCGGAGGAGGAAGAAGAGCAAAGAAATCCTGATCCTAAAAACAAAACAAAAGGAAGTGGCTCATCGGGAAGCTGGAGAGCGGAGCTTTCCTGCGCCCCGCGGAGGAACAATCTGACTGGGATGATAAAAGGCGCGTGGCCGCGTCCTGCGGTGCCGCGGGGAGCTGAGTCTGCTGTGCTGGCCAGCTCTGGGAGGCCAGCAGCAGCTCTCCAGCTCCCCTGTCCTCCTGCCAGGAGACCAGCAGCAAGTCCTACCCACCAGTCTCCATCTGAAAGCTTGGTCTTGCAGAGGGATGTCCAGCTCCAGAAGCCAACAGGACACTGCCTATGGTCATCACCTAAATAAACCACTTTGGGCCACCTCTTGCTCTGCCCATTTCCCATGGATTTTGTCACTGATATGTTTATACATATGTTTTGGTCGTTGGTTTCTCTGGAGCTCTTCTCTTCCAGTTTTGTTGGGCTTTGTGATCACTTCAGTCTTTTACTGAATCTTACCCAATCGCTCAGCCTGTTGCCCACCCCATGTTCTGAGACAGATGTGGTCTCCACCTGCCTGTGATGCCAAGCCACAATTGCCCTGTGGCCATGAGTGTCAATGCAAGAGTTGAGCTTTCTCATCTCCCTGCTTCTGATGTGTCCAGCTCTTTATTGCTTCAAGCTTTGCAGATTCCTTGCAGCTTTTACTGTGACCCTGGTGCAGGACTCCCAAAGGAAGTCTTTTGGGCAGCTCCTTCTTTGTTCCCACCGTGTTCACTTTTCTGCTCTCCTGATCTGTGCCTTCCGTTTCCTTCCCAGCTTTGTTAATTAAATGCCTCCCTGTTCTTGCCTCGTTTTTCAGAATTCTTGTATCTTCAAGACCCATCTGGGGCTGAGAGGAATAAATCAAGGACTGAATGTACAGTGGTGGCTAGCTGTTCTGTGACTTGTTGCTGGTCAACCATGCCCATCCTGAGGCTGGTGTTAGATGTGAGCTCTGGAGCTGAGTGCAGGGATCTTGCACAAAGTCCTGGCTCCTTAATGAGAGTGCTTAAAGTGGGAATATCTACCACAGGCAAAACTTCTCATGCAGAAGCAGCAATAACACTCTGACAGTGCCAAAGTAGTAGGAAGATGATTAGAGCTTTTTCTATTTCTGGAGGAGAGCCAAGGGGCTGTAGCCAGCAAAGAGGCCTTCCAGCAATTCGTGCTTAGGTGGTGAGATTTTGGAAGTGGGCTCAGATGAGTGCAGGACAGAGCAGATCTTACCTGCACAGAGCTGGCTGTGCCCCTGCCTGCTGCTGGTGGAGGTGGGGAAGCCCAGTGACTCAGCTGATGGGATTGCTTTCCAAAACCCACCAAGCATTACCAGCACAGATGGCTGCTGGGCACAGCCCAGAGGCTTAGCACCCAGTGCCTGCCAGAAATGGGCACAGAAGGGTCTCAGATTTGCAACAGGGTGTGTGGTCACAAGGTGTTAGAGCAGTTTGACTACTCAGGAGGCATAATGTGTGTCACCAGGCAAGGCCTGTGCACTCATCCAGGTCAGGAGGAGAACAGAAGCTCTGTGTCTGAGTTGTCTTGAGAAGGTGGCTGTAAAAAGCACGAGACAAATCAACAGTGTGAACCAAGTCTTGCCACCGAGCTAGGGTGACACAAGCATGATTGCTAATATGTCACTGATTTTTCAGTTGCATTAGTGAGTAATTTGTAATAGATTACCCTTTTGTAGAAACTTTTATCAACCCTTCCCACTGAACGGGGCACTGGAGGGCCACCAGCACAGAGGAGTGCTGCCCTGTGTCTTGAGCAAGCAAATGGCTGGTGCTGCCAGCTCAGTGACTGTGATCTGGTTTCCTCGTTATAATTAGCACCAGCCCGCTCAGCCCTTCCAGATGGTTGTCATCTCTCTGGTGTTGCCACCCAGCTGTACAGGAAGTCATTGGTGAACCCATGGTACAAGATGGTCCTGCCACCCCCCTCTTCCAAAGCTGGGGAAGGGGTGGCCAGGTTGAGGTTGGCAGGGTGTGGTTTTGTTAATGTGTTCTCAGCATCATGACCGGAGAGGTGACCTGGGGGAGGAGGTGCTGGGGGT